ACAATTACCCCCACATATTCTCTATGGGGTTCAAGGTAGGAATTTGCAGGCCAATCGAGGACGGTAATGCCCCATGGTTCAGTAACCACCAGGTTACTGGTGGTTTTTGGCCACTGTGGGGCAGTCCAGATCATGCTGGAAAATGAAATTTCTTCATCCATAGGAGCTTTTCAGCAAGTACGGGAAGCATGTAGTGCTCTAAAATCTCTTGGACACAGCTGCATTTACTCGGGCTGATGAACCACCAGTGGACAACACAAGCAGCTGACATTGTCCCCCAACCCATCGCTGACTAGTGGGAACTTCACACTGGGATTTTCAAGGCACTTGGATTTTGCTCCTCTTCCGGCCTTTCTCCAGACTCTGGTCTGCTCTTGGACTTTCAAATGGAAATTACAAAATACTGTTCGTCTGGAAAAGAGGACTTGCCACTGGCAACTTTCAGGTGCTCTTTTCCTCAGCCCCAAGTCAGACGGCCTCTTCCGTGTCTTGGAGTTCAAGAAGTGGCTTGGGACCATGGGAATCTGGCTATTGTAGTCCCATTTCCCGGACACGTCTGTGACAGGTGACTTTTGGTAACCTGGGGGACTCCAGTCTTCAGCCACTGTCTTTGAGCTTCCCCCAATTCTGGAAAGCGACTCTTCCTTCACAATGCTGTTAAGGCTGCGGTCATTCCTCTCTTGGTTGTGCAGCGTCCTGCCAAATTTCCCCCTTCCAACAGACTTTTTGTGGATTGCTTTGAAACTGGCACTTCTGTGAACAGCTTGCTCTTTGAGAAATTTCTTTTTGTGTCATTACCTCCTGATGGGAGGTGGTCATGACGGTCCTCTGGCAGCAGTCAGATCAGCAGTTTTCCCATTACTTTGATTTGTTTACTGAACCAGCTGAGGTTTTTTCACAGGCTCCAGGAAACCCTTGCAGGTGTTTCGAGTTAATTAGACGATTCAAGTGATTCGGTTTGTGATACACCCCTTACTAGTATACTTTTTTCATGATATTCTTATATATTTAGAGATAGGTATTGAGTTTTCTTTAGCTGTATGGCAATTATCGCCCATATTAAAATAATTAAAAAAGGCTTGCATAATTTCAGTGATGTAATGAATCCAGAAATGTTGACATTTTGTTTGTTTTTTTTTTATTGGCATTACAAGAAAATAAAAGAACTTTTCACATATTCTATATTTTCTGAGGGAACATCCATGGTACTATTTACAAGTTATATAATACAACTTTAATTTGATTAAAGGCTTTTGACACATATATCTTTATTTAATGTAAAGTATGATGACTTTCCTCGGGGTCGATATCATATGGTATGCTAATTAATCTGGTTCAAACGTGTTGTGCTCCCCATGCAAAGGTTGTAAACTCTTGGCGTCTCCCCTGCGTGTTTATACTAATAGAAACCGCAACGTCAACTCCTTTAACTGGTATATTGCAAGTGCAATAAGAACGATCAGGGACGCTAAATCTACGTCGGTAATATTAACTTTATTTAATTACAAGGATTTTACCATCATACAAGCCCATGTAGTAAATATTTTACAAAAATGATTGAATTACAGCAAACATGTGGCAATATAAATCCATTACTTTACAGGGCTCCGTGGGCTGTCAGTAAGGCGTATGGGGGTCCGTTTCTTATATTGTGTCCATGGGTAATCTAAAACTCATGTGGGGCTGAACACGTCACATCAAAATGAACGTGCCGGGCGGGTCAGGAATAACGGTTATTAGCACATTTTTACAACTTGGGGAACGAATGTTTTTACTAAAAGGGCTTATAGAAGTGTTCATTACTGGGTAGTTTATTGTTTAAAAAAATTATCCAACGACTTTTACAGACCTTCTTTCCCCGGTAAGTCCAAATGGGAAAAAGTGTTTTCCGGGCTGGGCAACCAAACGGGAAGTGTATACCGCTTGTTTTGGGCCACCCCGAATGTTTTCATTCTGGTCCGGCGCACTTTCCTGGGGGGCTTGAGACTCACATGGCATCCGGACTGTGGTGTGATGGCAACATGGTGTGCTTTTTTCCCTGGTGTACACTGAGAAAGGGATAGCGGGCACCAGATCTCCTAAAAAAAAGGGTATGTATATTCACTTGCCATGGACTCTGCTCTGTGTAAACTGGCCTGTGGGCCCTCTGTGGTGGATGGGGCCTGTTTCTCCCTTGCCGGCCTAAAGAAGGAGAGGGGTTGGATCCAGGGAAAGACTACCTGGACAAGGGGTCACTTTATTTAGAAGTTGAACTTGTTGGGTGCCCTCCTTCTGAAGGGCGCGTTTAATTGGAAGTTAAGGCATAATCTTTTCCTCCAATATTCTTCTGTACCTTACTTACAGCTATTGTGTGTTCGCTACAATAATTGACATGTCTGTTTCAAACAGCACCACGTTGAAGTTAGACGGAACCCCACCCCCTCCGCCTGGATTGAGGCTTCTGGAACAGTCTGCAGCGGAGCGGATTAAAGAGAAACCAGGGTAAATGTTCTGCTTTGATTTTGTGTGTTAAAATGTGTCTGGCTGTTCTGTGTACATGAATGAATCTCTATTCTATCGAGAGTCCTCGTGTATCATATACTTACAAAGCCTCCTCAAACCAATCAGCCGCCTCTCTACCTCACAGAACTCCTGGCACCACCACACCCCTTTCCCGCTGGCCTCCGCGCTCATTTCAGAAGCCAACCTCCCTTATTCCATCCCCAACCATATCAATCACCGGAACCCTGGGGGGACCAGAGCCTTCTCCGTTGGCTGTGCCCCCTCCCTTCTGGGACTCACTCCCCCAACCCATCAGAGACTGGCACCGACCTCACACCTTCAAAAAACTCACCCTTCTTCAATCTGGCTTTTAATGTGGTGATTGTTTTTTGTATTATATTGACTTTAACTTAAACTATTTATATTAACTTTAACTATTTATACTTTAACTATTTATATTTATTTGTTTGTTGCTTTCTTTTCACTATATCTGTAAAAGCATCTCTTTGAGCACCTGTAAAAGCACTAACAAAATAAATCTATTATTATTATTTATTATTATTCTCTAAAGGTACAGTACATCTTGCCATTATGTGAAAAAAACTCCAGTTTTTGAAGTTAATTACATTAGATAAAGTACATTGGAATTAATTTGACTGTATAATATTATATATATTTTCAAACTTACTCAATTTCAAAATTGGGTTTTCAGGAAGATTTGAGAGTTTGAGCCTTGTAGAACCCAATTATTTAATTCAGGTTTACTTCCTTGTTGGGAACAAAGCACAAATATTTAATAAACTGAGCTTCCGTTTACTGGTAGTCATAGCCTTTGACCCGTGAACAAATAACGAGTTGGTAATAGTAATTTCCCCATGGCGGTATCCGACCGCTGTAGCTACTGTGTCATATGATAATTAAAGCCCTTTGAACCTACTTGAAAGGCTTAACCCCAGCCTCCGCTGCTTAAAGAAGAGACATGGTAAATGTCAATGGCTACTGCGGAGGAATTACTGAATGAGAATAGCTAGTCTCAACCAACGGCCATCATTCTGAATAGTAGTCACAGAAAGGAAGCTTCTGTTCGGGACGGGGACGTAATCATCCACTGGCAAATGGAACTGAAGTAACACATCTAGAATGAAATTACGCCGTCTTGTCGTTTTCAAGAAATCTCTTGAACTTAATTTCCTTCAAGATTTCTCTTGAAAGTCCACATATGCATGAGCAGTGGTGGAATGTTGACGGGTACTGAGAATTGTCTATTCGTTGCCGGACTGGATACACTCCACTACAAATCAAAGGGAAGCGGAGTGGTACTTTGTGCTTCACCAGGGTCTTATGTGATTAGCAGTTGATAAAGGTATAAGGGTATTTTACCCGAAACATTTCAATGATTGTTAGGACAATCCTTGGAGGCTATTACGTTTTGGGCTGGGGGCGTCTGGGGCCCGGGGCGTTGGTTGAATATGGATTTGGTTTGCGACCTACGGCAGGGGGTGACATGTAATACTCACGAAACCAGTCATTCGTAGGTAGATCTATAGTGGTACTTCTGCAGTAACATGCTGCATTGAACCAGATCGTGGCACGTTGTGAATAGGAGTATGCTTAAGTGTGGTAGGAATATATTCTGCTGAAGAGAACGAGAAGGCCGTTTCTTCTTCGACCTGGCTGTGTTGTAGTTGTAGACTGACTGGTATGTGCAGTAATTTGTTTCAAATCATTTGCTTAAACGGTGTAGAATTAGAGTGGATGGTGATGTATCAGCAACACAGGAAACGCAGAATGAGAGATGTGCTGTTGTTTAAAGTGGTCTACTGTTTCATGTTTTGTAGTAGGCCTTAGTGTGAACAGACAGTTTTATTGAATAAGGATATGCATCTGAGGACGCCACTGGTAACTGTAGGATTATAGAGAGAGAGAGGGGGGAGAATGATTACCTAACATATGTAGTTAAATAAAAGGTAAGAAGTAGCAATAAAAAGACAACCTGAAAAAGCCAAAATCGTTTTACTGGAGATTGTAAATAAGATGCAAATGTAATCTTTAAAGTCCGCATGTCATGGCCATTGTGCTCCACTGACTCATAATTCCATGTGAGGTGCTACTAGAATAGATTTATATTGTGGGCAATGTTCCAAACGTCTCACAGCTGCTTCGCCATAGCCAGGCATCTCTGTAAAACGACGTGTATTCACTGAAAGTTCAACTCTCGCCTTTAACGGCTCGTTGTAGCTCCCAGTAGTCCAGGCCGCCACGCCCCTCCCTTGGGGACGAGGAACAGTGTGCGTCGGATTGGTCGGGTGGAGATCGTGGCAATCGCGCTAAGCTCCGTGGAGTGTGGTTTCCTTGTTTAGCGATACACAGCGAAACACAGCCAAACTCACCCTGAGCACACACAAAGTCAGAGCCGAAGTAAAAACAATAAGTGTGGCTTGATATTGAGTAAGAAAAAGGTTGATAAACGCTGTGAGAATGGGTCTGCAGAGAGAATTTCGCCGCGATCCCAACTGTCTGTTATCAGCCTGCAGCCAGGGAAGAGAGATCAGCAGAGCTGCCTGCACTGAGTGTGTGTGTGTGAGGAAGCCGTGGATTGGTCAATTTGGACCAATCAGCAGGGGCTTAACGTAATGGCTCCGCGAACGTAACGGCTCCGCGGACGTAATGTAACGGCTCCACGGATTGGTCCATTTCGTTCCAGGTACGGTTGACATCATGCGTACCCGGAAGAATCAAATGGACAATGACGTATCTCCAACGAGGCGTTTTGGGGAGGTATTTTCTGTGTTAGAGTTTTACTCGCTACAGGGTGTACTTTGAGGGTTTGTGACTCTGCAGACCGTTTACATGCAGAAAAACCTTCATAACACAGAAGGGGACGGGTAATAACCAGAAAAGCATGACATGGGACCTTTAAGTAAAATCTACTTACAAAAACTGAAATGTGATAGTAAAGTTTACTTAAGTGCGTTTAGTAACAAACACTTCTTAACTGTAAGTAGATGCTACTTGAAATATACGTTGTTAAATGTACTTAGGTCAGGTGCAAAGAAGTGTTTCTAAATCTCTGTGATTTCTACCAATGCACAATATACTGTATACCGTCAATAAACCCTAGGTGCCTGTCAGACGGGGGCTTTCATCATCATTCAAACTAATTCCTGTAGAAATACACAGATATGGATATCAGGTACCTAACAAGGAGTCATGTCGACATTTTGCTTCAGAGCAGCTTCATTCCTCTGAACACTGCAACAGAGCTGTGTGGGATGTTAGACGTTCCTTCAAGAAAGCCTCCAGCTGTTTGCAGTTGAAGGAGGAGGGTTTCTGCTTCACGCTATGCACTCTGGAGCATCTCATAAAGGTTTCATGTGTTTGTGGAGTTCATGGAAGCGGTTTGACTTCATCCTGGTGTTCGTGTAGGTACTGCTTAATTTGTTTTGCAGTTTGCCTGCATGGTGGCGTTATAAACTTAGATTTGAGAAACATGATGAAGGACGAGTGAGTTGAAAATTCATCCCATCTGGTGTTGTAAAATAATTGTTCACAGCACCTGGCTGTTTTGCTAGCACAGTAAATCGGACTAAATGGCTCTCGGACCATCCCAGACTGCACCATTTTGAACACTGTGGGTGGAAATCGTTGTTTTGCTTTTAGTAAATCTACACTCATTCTGATTCATGTTGTTCAAAGACATCAAACAAGTCAAAAGAGAGCAAAAATACTCACAGTTACTTTAGCTTGACACTCATTTGAAGCAGCAGAGGCGTAGCGAATGAACTAAAGAACTATAATTCTACGACATTGTTTAGTATTGGAATGTGAGATGTGTCTTATACATTGTATGAAGTAGTGACAAATGGTGTCTATATTCTGAGCTGAATCCGTTTATAAAACTATTGCTGAGCTGTTTTCCAAAGCAATAAATGTGGGACTGTGACATTTGATAAACATTCAGAAAGGTGAGATGTGCTAATCTATGCAGTATTGACTTCTCGCTCACTGAGACCAACTAAATGTTAAAATAAGTGACAGCTGCAGTATTTTAAGACTCATTTTTGCTTACTTGTTTCACAGTGAATAAATGAATGTATCAGCTCAGCAATAAACAGACAAAACAGGTTAGAGGGGAGCAGGAGAGAGGCAGGCAGGGGACCTCTCCCTCTGCCTCTTTTTCGACTTTTAACCGGCGTAGAAAATAGCTCTGTCTCTGAAAAGCCAGACTCAATCCATTAAACTGGCATTTGGGTGAGCTAAGTCCAGCCCTTAGAGCTTCAAAGGAAAATATATATCCTGACGCTCCCTCAAGGCTCTGATCCGACTTCTAAATGTGCAGAGCTGATGCTTATCCAATGAGAAAATTGAAAATGCTCGCTGTCCCAAACTCAAATGATACAGGTCTCTTAATTAGGAAATGCACCAGATTATAATGTAAAACAATAGAGACTTAATAACAAAGCGTCACTCCACAGAGTAATATTGTTTTACAGCCCCCTTGACATGCATAATCACTTGGTTGTTGTCAGATCTCTCAACCGTCATTTGCAACTCAGACTTGTGGGTGAGAACAGGAGAAAGCAACGTAATAGTTTCTGAAGTTTTTTAAATGCAACATCCGGAGTCTGCCTAAAATTGGGCATGACATGATACCCCGAAGAGCGCTTGTGGGTGACGGTTTAACTGCCCTGACATTTTTAATCACTGCAGGCAGCC